TGTATTTTTGTTATTCTTTTTTTTTTCTTGTTCCAAAGAATATTATTGAAGTAATTTACCTGAAAGCCTTTTTAAAGAAATTCCAAATGAATTTTATTTAATCGATTTACTAACGTAATTGTCACATCGTTCATTACTTATTTCAGTCATTTTTTCTTCTTTTCTACTTTTTCTTCAACTCATTTTATTTCATTCTATTCTATTTATATGTTTGCGAAAGAGCGATTTAGGGATTATAAATTCTCAAAAAAAAAAAAAAGTTTTTGCGATATGATCATTGTCCAATTTGTATTACACATCTAGAATCATCATCTAAATTATGCTTGTTAAATTTTTTTTCAGTCCATTTTATTTATTTTAATATGAATTAGTCATGTATTTTACGTACGTAAAGATTATGTAAAAATTTTATTTTATTAATGTGGACGTTTATCGTTTTTTTTTTTTTTTTTTTTTCACGAGCATTTTCTAAACAAAACTAACGTACGTTACCTTGACAATTGCTAAATGATACAATGTTATGGTAAAATTACGTATGTAAAAAAATTATTTGTAAAAGGAACGTAATGTTGCCATTTTCATATCAAAGTTAAAGTAGGAAACATTTAGTATTCCGTATTAAATATAATCTGTCGTTTTGCATTTTTTTTTTTTTTTGATTTTTTTTGTGATCACTTTTTTTTTTCTTATTTTGTCAGTATAATCATTTAATCTTTTCTTTACACAACTATTTCTTAAGCAGAACTCATATACGTCATTTCGATAATTGCTAGATGATACAATGTCATCGTAAAAATTACTGGATGACGTGATTTCACCACTGAAATTAAATATTTTTATTTTTTGTCTTTTCATAGTACGTTTATTTTATAAACCATAAATAATTCGAGATGCATCCATGTGGGCTTATTTCCTTGGATGTCTGAGCCAACTCATCTTGCCTAGGGGTCACTCACGCATGTTGGTACCTGGTTATGGTAAAGTAGTTTGGTTTTGGTTTCCTTCGTATATATTTATAAATTAAATGAGATAATTGAAAACGAAATATGGAATATATTTAGCCATTACTATAAACTTTTATTTGTTAAATTATGATATTACATTTTTTTTTTTCCTTTATCGGTCTTCATTGATAACAAACATGAATGTGCTCTATGATTCTCTAATTTATTTATAACTTTTTTCATTATCTTTCTTTTTCTTTTGTTTCACTTTAGCCGAATTAATTAGGTTCTTTCTTTTTTGTTTTGTTTTGAATGATTGTTGTTTATGTGAAAAGATGCTTGGAAATTAAGGAAAAAAAAAGAAAAATTAAAAGCTTTTTGTTTCTTTCAGTTCGGTTTTTTTTTTTTTTCGCAGTTCTGAATAACACAATTGATATGAATTGTGAAATTTAAATGAATTCGGTGTTTAAATTGTTATTCTTTCCTTTCTTTTTCATTTTATCTCTTTTGATCTTCTTTTAACATTAATTTACAGATATTTTAAATGTTTAATTTTATACCAAAAGAAAAAATTGTTTTTGTTCTGTGAAGTGGAAATTTTGTAATCATTTTTATTTCTGAGTTTTTTTCAACATTTAAACGTTTTCATTTTGAACATAGTTACAAATGAAAAGAAAAAAAAAAGTGTCGTTTATTTACTGAATTGATGATGGAGAATGAGGGGAGAAAGGGAGAGAAAGAGAGAAATAAACTAGTGCTTTGATTAGTTCGTTGAAATTATTTTTTTTTTTTGTAAGCAGTGAAATCAAGCAACACTTTCATTTCTAAAAAAAATCGAAAATAGAAGCTAGACATTTTGATGTTATTTTTGGAATATGTAAAAGGAAATTGAATTTCACTAATCTCTCCGGGGAATTTTAAAACTTTTGATCGTTGGAATCTTCCGCTTCTGGCTTAACTATTGAGTGTTTTCTTTTTGTGATTGAAATAAAAATTGAAAGAAAAGAGAATTCAGATTGATGATTCTAAAAATTATTGATAAAGCATATAAGTTAGTGTTGAATTCATATTTTTCATTTTGTATGAAATTGAAGACAGTAGAAGTACAAATTGCGCTTATTGATCCAACATATAGTTTTTTTTTTTTTTTTTTGGAGGGGGTAGGGAAAGGGGGTCAAATGAAGCATGAATGATGATTCATTCCTGTTTGTTTAATTTTTTATAGATGAAGCAAATTGAACATTGAAAAAGAAGGGAGAATTTTTTTTTTTATTATGTACAATAAAAGAAAAATTCCGTTTTCTTTTTCTTCATCCTTTGTCCCTGACGGAGTTGTCACAAACATTCAGCGATATTGTCCTAAATTCAATTAAAAAGAAAAGGAAGAAAAAAGTTTAGCGAAATTTCGCAGTGTGTTTATTATCCGTTCACAATTGCATTCTTTATTAAGTATATTTTCAGCAATAAATTTTATTGTTAATTTTCATGATTTTGAAAGTTTTCTAATTAATTTATTTTGCATTTCTTTTTTTCATCATTTCATCGTACTGTTTAGAACATAGAAAATAGTGGTGACAATTTAATTGTGAAATTTTATGAGTTTTTAGAATGTAAAATTTGATTAGCTTTTTTTTTTTTGGTATAGCATTTATTTACATTGTGGTTATCATAGTACTGTCTCTTTGTATTTATGTGTTTTAATTCGTTATTCATCGTGATTATGTGATTATTGTAGTTTATAACATTAACAACAATGAACACAAACAGTAATACTGATCCAACGCAAATTTAGCATTAAAAGTAGAAAGAAATTCGAACAAAAAAAAAAAAAAGTAGGTAAATTACAAATACGAATAGTATTTAGAAGTGTTTGAAAAGATAAAGTGGCATTTTAAGAAGCGAAAATTGAATATCCAAACAAAAAGAAGTGACTATTGTTTGCTTTTATATTTTTACGAATTTTATTTTTGTAAATTTTATTTAAAAACTTATAATCCTGTGAGTCAAGTAATACTTATAAATCTGTAAATGTTTATGAAATTTGTGGATTGTTTATGTTTAAAGATTATTCTGTAAATAATGGTTTAGAAGTTGTATGACATTGTTTTCTTTTTTTTTTTTCTAAAAAAAGGCCGTTTAATGTTCTTCCAGCATACACACCCATTCCAGTTCTTATTCTACTATAAAGTGAAATATGTTAATTATTTATTATCGGATGAATTTTATCTATCATTTCATGTCAGTCATTATCAACTTGGAAGTCGATTTGGTATGACCATAGAAAATCATTACATTTTATTTGTTTGTTTGTTTTATTATATTCAATTGTTTATCATTTATTATTGTTAAGCATACGTTAAGCATTACTGCTTGCAATGTCATTTTATTAGGTAATGCACAATTTTATCCTTAATCATAATAAATTCATAAATTAATAATCATGTTAGTTTTGATTTTTCTATAACGAATTAATCTGTCCGATCTTTCTGTGCATAAAAAATTAAACTATCTATCAATAATTTCTCTCATCCTATGTGTACGATGAATTATTCCGTGCAAAGCGGAGAAATTCATTGGTTTTAATTTTTATTGTGATATGAGTCGTCATCTGATTAAAGCAAGCAGCAAAGCTACTTTTTTTTTTTTTTTTTACTTTGGTTCCTGCGACAAATTTTGATTAGAGAGCAATCTTGTGGTTGATTATTATCATACACTTTTTATGTCTTTGTGTACATAAAAATTTTCCCTGTAACTTTATTCGAGAGTAATTTGTGTAGTAGAAATTCTGATTATATTAGAAATATTTCTTAATGATATGATATCTTATACAAAATTTTACATAAATTTGTATAAATTTAATGATAAATTATCATTACATATAAATCGTATCATATGAGCAGTTCAAATTTTGTTTGAGAAAAATTGAAGATTTTCTAAAATTAAATATTGTCATAGTGGTATTGAGAATATTTTTAATAAAAAAATGATTTCGATATAAATATAGATGGTAACAACATGGTATAATATGATCGAATATGATAATAATATTGTAAAGGTATGAGTACCGTTCAGGCTGTCAGATATTTTTTTTTTTTTCGTTTATCCTACATCCATTACAATAGGTCTAAACAAAAATAAAAATCAAATTTAAATGTTCATACTTGATTGTATGAAGTGATTAAGTTATCAGATTTTGATTTGAAAATTAACACTAGTTTGTTTATATCATTGAAGAGTGATGTTTTCTTTATACGTTAAATTGTTATCAAAACCTGAAAGAAATTATAAACGAAAAGATGATGATAGGATACACTCATGGAAAACATTCCATTATTTTTGTATTTGTTATTTTTTCTTATGTTTTTATTTCTCCCAAAATTATATCGACAGTAAAGTAGTTGTTTTTTTTTTTGATCAAATATTGATTAGAAATCATTTGAAGTATATTATAACAATTATCCTTCAAATAAATTATTCCAATAGAACATCATTTCTAAAAAGAGAAAAAAATTTTTTTCAAAACTTTTTTTTTTCTTTTTTTACAATATATGATTTATATTGCAGAGATTGGTATATCTGATTAAAATAAACAAAATAATGATTTATCGTTGTCACTTTCTTTTTCTTTTTTTTTTTTTTCATTTTATGAACATTACATATTTTCTGTGGAAGTGCTATTTTTTTCTCCAGATATTACTGCAAATGAAATATATTATATAAAATTATATTTAGATAAAAATAAATGAATATTTTATTGCTGTGATTTTTTTCGTATTTATTTTTCCTAACATTAACATTTCAGTCTTTTGATTGAAAACTGTTTCATTTCTGTGTCATGCTTTTTTTTCTAGTAGTAATGTTACAATTAAAATTATATTTTATAGGAGTAAATGATAAAATTTAACAGAAAAACATGTTATATAATTTTTAGCATTATTATTTATCTATCAATTGATGAACGCATCATTTCTATGCAGTGCTTGTTCCCGAAGTATCAGTGCGAAATTTGTTACATAAAATTTTCATTATAATTTGAAAAATTAGCAAAGTAAAATTATGGATTACCTTGCACGTATATTATGCGATGTGGATGAAATACAAGTAAGTTATCAGTATCAAACCGGTTTTTTTTTTTCTCCTTTATTAAATGGCAAAATATTATGGTAAAATTGTTAGCTAATGTTGCAAATTAAGGAAATACCAGAGTTTAACTTCCAATATATTTGTCATGCAAGAAAAAAAAAGTAATAATAATTGCAGTTGAAGCATTGATAGATTAGAAATATTATTTTCATAAATTCATTGAATTTTTTTGATTTGTTGTTTGTTTCTTTTTGTTTTTTTTTTTAAGTTCACATTGCATGATAATACTAATGTATTTCGGTCCATTTTTTTTCTTTACAATGCAAATAAAAGGTTCATTTTACTGATTATTCAGTCAATGAATAGATAACAAATGATTAAAAGACTTATATCATAATCCTCCTTCCGATAAGTTTTACTAGATTAATTGATTGTTTAAAAAAGAAAAAAATTTACTATACTGAATATGCAAGCATTCTCAACATTTTGTTGATTTTTGCATATAAATTATTTAATAAGATAATGATAAGATAAATTTTTCCAATAATGTTTGATTAAATTTTCGTGTAACATTAATAAAATTTATCAGTTAAGAAGAAAAAATTAATTTAATATGAAAAATAATATGTTGACTAAAAGATTCTTATGCCATTTCAGGTATTCGATTATTCATTGAATAGCACAGTGCCACATATAACAAATTGTGCTGAATCATCAATCCTTGTCCTTACACCATTAATATTTTTGATCACATTTAGTCCACTTATTCTATATGACCTCAAGAAAAGTCGACATCCTCCATTAGAACTCTATTCACCAACAGTTGCTCGAATAGTAAGTGTATTTCATGTATATATTATGCTTCTACTATTTTTTCACTTTGTTATACACATATTTTTTATAGTATTTTGGAAGTTAGTAATGATCTAATTCAGCACTAAATTTTAATCATGTAATTAAGATATTTAATGAAATTTTTGGCTAGTAATTAGCTCGCGGCATGTTATTTTACTTATGGTGGAAAATTTTCTGATTTTGCTTTTTGTTTTTGTTTTTTTTTTTGTGGAATAAAATTATTATATGATGAAGTTAACAATAGGAAGGTTTACTGAATGAATTTTAGATTCTATGTTTCTTGTTGGTAATGAATCGTCTAACTGCAACAATAATCAATCTGATAACATGGTTTCGGACACCGTTAACATATCAATCGTATAGCATCATGTCATGTTGCTGGCAAACGGTAACGTATTGCGTATGTTTGCTGTTACTGATTGCCTATCGTAATCGTGGCTTAGTGACTTCTGGCGTTTTGTTCAACTTTTGGCTTCTTACTGCAATTTGTGCATTTCCAGAACTTAGACGTCGAGCTGCATATGCTGAAGATTTTACCGGCATTCAGGTTAGCAATATACTTATACTATTACATTTTTGATTGTTATAAACATGAAATTTCGTTTCTACAGCGGAAAACCACAAAGCTTTCTAATTTAATTAAAATGTCTAAATGGGGAATTGGTTTTAGAATTTGATTTCATTCTCTTTTCTCTTTTGTTGAAAATTTGTTTATTTATATCGTTTAGGATAAAAATGAAGTCTCAGTGAAATATGTATTGTATATAATCTACTACGCATTCATATTGTTCGAAGTATTCTTGTCATGTTTTGCTGATAAACCAAGATATTGGTTGAAAGATGTAAGCATGTTTGAATCGTGTTATCATTCTCTATCTAAGACCACAAAGTTTAAACTTATTTTTGTATCTTTAATGTCAGTTACTAAAGGAAAAAGCATCTTTTAGCTGTCATTTCAGGAAAAACTTTGTCCAGAAGATAATTGTTCCTATCTGAATAAAATCACATTCAACTGGTTTCACAGCTTGGCAGCACGTGGTTTTCGTAGACCGCTCGAAGTTAATGATTTATGGCGATTACGACTACATGAAGAAAGTGAAAATTTGATGAAAAAATTCAAGCGTTATTGGTTACCAGCGGTTAATGGTATGCTTATGTATTACATACTTCTTTCCATATTTTCCCTTAATTTAATGTTGTGATTGTTAAATATATTCAGTAAATTTAAAATTTTGAAAAGAATGGAGAGCGTTGTGAAAGATCTGACGCTGATTTGCTATCGTTTGCATTTAAGTCAGTTTGACTCGTTGTTTATTTCCTTTTTCCGCAAATGTTTTTTACATATTTTTTAAGAATTATCAGATTGATCATTGAAAAAAATGAAATATATTGTGATTTCATTAGGAATATATTTCAAGGTATTCTTGTCTTTTAATTTTAATACATGTAATTAAATTTAATTTTCAGCGTACTATAAAAAGAAGCGAGCAGCGGAACAATCAATTTCACTTAAGGTTTCTTAATTTTCCATTCAGAAATTTGTCTATCTCTTCGAATAATTATGCTTGTTCTGTTACTTTGTGGTTATTTGTATTAGATTAGTCTTATTTTAGAAACTTAGTCCAAAAACACAGCCATCATTACTGTGGGCGCTTGCGAAAACATATCGCTGGACCATTTTGTCTGGCGCTGCAATGAAATTTGTATTTGACGTATTAAATTTCGTCAGCCCGCAACTTCTCAGGTTAAATACTTTTTTGTTTTGCTAGAATCGATTCTTCATGATTTTTTTATTCTTTTTTTCGACTTATAATAAAACATGCCTTAATGTTGAGTATATTCGGTTAGTTTTTGTTCAGTATACCTTATAATAAAGAAATTTGGTGCATCAGTTTGCATAAGGCCGGTTAATGGTGTCAGTTAATAGAAATTCTTTAATATTTTAGCATTTTAGATTTTTGTGTTTGTAATTGGGAAAATTCCATAGCTAATTGTCTTATGTACCATTCAAGTAATTTATCTTTTTTTTTACAGTGCATTAATATCATATATCGAAGATATGAAGCGACCGTTATGGATGGGTATTGCTATATCATTTGCTATGTTTGCTGTTGCACTCGTTCAGTCAATGGTTGGCCAGTTATATTAAAACAGTTTCTCTTTGTTATATGAAGTTATTGTTCATCTTAAATTTATCGGAAAAAAAGTAATAAGAAATTCTAACCTCAAGGAATTAAAAAAAAAAAAAATACGAAAAGATTCTAGAATGGATTTAAAAATTCTTGGAAAAGCTAGAAACATTTCGTGGCTCAACTGTTCTTTTAAATGGTTTTCAGATTTTGCATCAGTATTTTCACAAAATGTTCATGTTAGGTATTAATGTGCGTTCTGTGCTGACAAATTCTGTATATGTCAAGGTATTTTCATTATGATTTTATTTTGTGACTGATTTACTTCTCATTATTCTGATATATATATACGCAAAAGTTTTCTGCTGAAAATATTTTTCGTCGAAATAGTTATTACGTATTCCTGAACTAAATGACTGTATTTAAGTATTCAAAATCAGTTTTACTGTAGTTTCTTTCTGTAGGCGTTAATGTTATCTAACTCTGCTCGGAAAAATCGTACTGTTGGTGAAATTGTAAATTTGATGTCTGTGGATGTCCAGCGTTTTCAAGATATCGCCAGTTTTATTATGCTTTTTTGGTCTGCTCCATTTCAAGTAAGTCTACACATTCTTTTTATATTTATATAGTAATCATTTTTATGTTGGAAATTAATTCCTAAGTTTTAATGAAGATCAATTGGTTTATCATTTCATTACTTATGACCCTATTACTTTATCTGTAGATTTTTTTTTTTTTTTTTAATTACAGATACTACTTGCAATTTACTTTCTGTGGCGATTGCTTGGAATAGCAGTTGTTGCCGGTCTCACCGTACTTTTCGCAACAATTCCCTTAACTTCATATATTTCTCTACGAATGAAAAACTGTCAAGTAATTGTTTCTAAATCATAAAATCAAAGAAGTGGAAAATCGAATTTCTTGTGTCTGATTTGTCATAAAAGAGTTTGTTTAGAATATTTTCTCTTAAATGTTCACATTAATATCAATTTGTCTTTGAAAAATGTTGCTCCTTTATTTGTTTGGGAAAATTTCATACTATTTATTAATAATTTTTGAAATGTAATGTCTGGAAGTGATGAATTTCAGGGAAGACAAATGAAACTGCGAGATGAACGTTTGAAATTCATGTCAGAAATTTTAAATGGAATCCGAATAATCAAATTTTATGCTTGGGAGAAAAGCATGCAAAAACTGGTCAATTACATTATTTTCAATATTATTGTTTTTGAGTTTGTTCAAAACTCAGTATTTATAAGTAAAAGTTATTTGAGTACTCAGGTTTTGGAAATTCGCGAAAAAGAGATTGCTGTACTACGCGAAATTGCGCTTTATAATGCTGCAATATCGTTAACTTGGTCATGTGCGCCGTTTCTTGTTGCTGTTGTCACGTTTGGCTTATATGTGAAAATTGATCCACAGCACAACCAACTTACACCTCAGGTAAGATAAATTAGGTGCTTAGTTTAAATTCAGCGATGATGAATAAATCCGAATTAATTCAATTCTGTCAGGCAATTTAAAATAAGTTGTTGTTTACTTAAGCATGAATATCTTGAATTAATTCACTCCAGATAAATAAAATGGAATTAACTCAAATGGGATTTAATTAGTTCAAAAAGGAGAATGGATTGCTTCGTACTAACGATTAGAATAAATGATTCATTCTATATGCGATAGTTATTTATTCCAAACATAAGCCAATAAGACACTAAGCAGTCGAAATTGACATAAGCCAGTTAAGCACTAAATAATCAAATTTGGTTACAAAAAAAGAAATGATTATATTTTAATCTCAGATGTGATACTCAAATACCATTCTATCATATTGGTTTAAATTTAATTACTTTACAGGTTACATTCGTTGGTCTTTCACTTTTCAATTTGATCCGTTTCCCAATGACAATCTTTCCATTAATATTCAGTCAGGGGACGCAATGCTCGGTTAGCAATACCAGGCTGAAGTCATTTCTGTCGGATGATGAAATGCAGCTTTCTGTAGTAGATCGAATCTCTTCAGGCGGTTAGAAATTGCATATGACACTTCTTTTAATTCCAAATAGAGGATCACTTCGATTTATTTTAGTATTATTTTTTATTGTTTTAGTATTACTTCGATTTATTTAGATTTTAGTTACAGCCTCATAAGTCAATTTCATCACATTTTAACTTCTAATCTAGCTAATTAAAACTAAAAATTGATGAATTATTGGATAATCCTAACTAACCTCTGTTTTATTTTTATCGAGTAATCTGCTAATGCTTTTATAGATTATGCCTTGTCGATACAAAGTGGTAATTTTTCTTGGGACAATAATAAAGTGACATTGAATGATATCAATTTAAAAATCAAAAAAGGCGAGCTTGTTGCTATTGTTGGGAAAGTCGGCAGTGGTAAAAGTAGCTTGCTTTCTGCTATCTTAGGTATGTTTTCATTTTTGATAGTTTTATTTTTGTGTGCATGTTTTTTTACTTCATCAATTCCATATTATTTTGCTCTAGACACTGAAAGAATTTCAGTCTAAAATATGACATTCTATTTATTTCTACAAAAAATTTAAGGCGAAATGGATAAATTGAACGGTAGTGTGGATGTTGTTGGGTCGATTGCTTATGCCCCGCAGCAACCGTGGATCCAGAATTTGTCGTTGATGGATAATATTTTGTTTGGCACACCTTTCGATCCTCAACGGTATGAAACAGTGCTTGATGCATGTGCGCTGAAACCAGATCTCGCAACATTACCAGCTGGTGATCAGACTGAAATTGGTGAAAAGGTTATATTTAGATTTTGCACTGGATTTTACTATTATATCTTTGTGCTAGATTCAGATTAAAAAAAAAAAAGTAGGAAGTGGAATATATTATCTTGTTTCGTTTTTAGGGCATTAATTTGAGTGGCGGTCAGAAACATCGCGTAAGTTTGGCACGTGCAGTATACGCCAATTCAGACATTATTCTTTTGGATGATCCCTTGTCAGCTGTTGATGCTCACGTTGGACGACACACATTCACCCGTGTCATCTGTTTGTTTCTTTTCATTCTTTGGATCTCTCATTTAATTCTTATGTAGTTACGCAAAACGCTATGACTGCAAAAATATTGAGTGCAACCATTTCCAGAATACCTTTGGAATCATTTACAGAATAAATGAAACGAATCCGGAAACAGAATACATAAGTTACAAAGTCAAAAATGAATTCTTTAAGCATCTCAAACTGGCTTATTAGCCAAGAAAACGCGTATTTTGGTAACACACGGACTACATTACTTGAAGTATTGCGACCGAATTGTCGTCATGAATGGTTAGAATTTTTTAAATTTAGTTTTTCCCAGCCAAAATTTATTGCCTTATTTAGTTGATTAAGTAAGGCATTGAAAAAAAAAAATTTTTTTTTTCTAAACCTACATGAATCTGGTATTCATAGATGGTAAAATTACCGAAGTGGGCACATTTCAAGAATTAGTTCAAGCACAAAAACATTTCGCAGAATTTCTGGAAGATTTTCTTATGAACAAAGTTAAACAATGCAAGCAGGCACAAGATGAAGGAGACTGTTAGTTTTATTTTAATTTTTACTCTCAGATATAACATCAGACCTTATCTCAACTTTAATCTCAACCACAGAACTCAATCCATTTGAGCTTTGTTCCAGGTGTATGTGTTATTTCTGTTTGTCTTAAGTAAAAAATGACATTCTGTCAAGTTCGTGATATATTTCCAGTTTTCTTTTAGACACAGATCTTCAGATGAATTTATGCAAAATGTTAAGTGACTAGTGGTATTACTTTTTTTTTCTTTCCAGGTGGCAGGTAATAAACTATATCTTAGATTCTGTGGACCAGCAATATCCTGGAAATTACAATATCTTAATATAATTTCAGCAGAAGAAATGGAAGAACTACTAAAAGATTTGCAAGTTTTGAATCCGGAGCAACGCAAACATTTGGAAAGTTTTAGTGGGACAAGGCAACACACAGATAGTACTTTAACAATTGCATCATCTATCAAACATATATCATCGCGAGACAACTTACCAGCCGAACAACAGGTTACTGTTATTTTCTGCAGAATTTTGATTATTACATCATCTGGAACTATTATACTAAATGAACCTACAACAGTATAATATTGATAACAGTTTCTTTGTTAATAAATCATTTTAGGATGGTACCACCGAACAGGATGTTGCAGCGAAAAAGATCGATAGTAATTTAATAAAAATCGAGATTGGTGAAAAGGCAGATGGTATTGCATTGTCTGCACAAACGGCTAATAAACCAGCTATAGCAAGCAATGATGAACGTTCAAAATTAATTGAAAAGGAAGGCGTTGAAGTTGGAAAGGTCTCTATGGAAATCATTAAGAAGGGAAATATTCTTGTTTTGGTAACAAAGTGGAAATAAGAAATGATCGTTTAGTTACGCCATATCATGCCTGAATGTGAAATTGATAATTTGAGTAGCGCATCGTTTTACACCATTTGTGGTGCGATTGATTCATGATTGAAATTTGTTGCTAAAAAGAATATAATTGTCTCAAAAAGTGCATAAATTAAAGTAAGGGTTAAAAATTAGTAAACTGAAAATTACAAATTGGATTTTGAAATTAGATTGGTAAAATTCTCAACAAATTTGCAAAATTTGTATTTTTATTGCAGGTGAAATTTGCAGTGTATCTTTTGTATCTTCACGCTATTGGTTATGGCACAACAGCAATCTTTGTTTCGATTTATATTTTTTCATCTGTGCTTGGTGTTTCATCCAATTTATGGTTAGCCAATTGGTCTGATCATGCCAACAAAGGAAACATCACGGCAGAAGAAAACGACACAAATTGGCGTTTAGGAATTTACGCAACACTCGGCTTGGGACAAGGTGTGTTATTGTAGGAAGTTAATTACTTAGGCATTTTGAAGTTTAACACATCTTCGAGTGTTTTTCAACGTTTTTCCGTTCCTTTTCTGTCTTTCTCTTTCCCTCACACACAAAAACATTCCAAATATCCAACTGATTTCGACCTAACAACTTTTTTCCTCCGACTAATCTTTGCTATTAGCCGCAATGGTTTGTATTGGTTCAATTACAATGGCATATGGAATGGTTTTTGCGAGTCGAAAATTGCACGAAGGAATACTGCGAAATATTATGCATTTACCAATGGCATTTTTCGACATAACTCCGCTCGGACGCATTGTGAACCGTTTTGGGAAGGTATTTTTTATAATTGCATAATAACTATGATTTTATTTGTATGTTATGTTTAATGCTAAATTCCAGCTTTTACGATTTTTTTCGTTTGTAATGGGATTAGAAATTCAAGTTCAAATTCAGCAATACTCAAAGTAATGACGTTTAAATTCATCCTAACTGACTATAATAATACCTGTGCAGTGAAAGAAAATTAGATGACATGATGCTTTATTTCTTCTTTGAATAGCAAATTCTTTGAATAGAAATTGTGGAATTATTTGCTTTGGGATTTGCTTGTCTGCTGGCTCGAAATCTTTTGATTTTCTATCGTAGATTTATCCTCTTAATAAACGCTGTAGGGGGATACTAGTAATTCTTTCATTTTTCATGTTCATGTCATGTGTATGTATTATTTGTTTTTGTTTAGCTCCAAAAGTTTTATTATATAATTCCTTGTTGCAGATTCATAACTTATATTTATTTTTGAATCTATAAAAAATCACATCCTGCACCCGATAGGCAATGGAAATTTGCTGATTATTTAGAGTTTTTAAAGTAAACATTATTGCAGGATATAGTAACGGTGGATATTGAAATACCAAAATCTATTGATGATCTTCTTGACGATTGTCAAATTCTTGTTGCCATTTTAATTCTTATTGTTTTCATATATCCTCACTCATTTTGGGTCTTTATCATATGCGCTTTCTTCAATTTCTTCATTCTGGTATGAGACACTGTCATTTATGTAGTACCCTTTGTAAGAGGATGGTAACCACTTTGATATACTAGTTGGTGATTATGAATTTCAAATTTTAGATTAATTTCTTGAAATTTTCAAGAGTGGGGAATTTTTATCCTTTATTAGGAATATTGTTGAACGATTCAGACGGAATTTTACCACTTACTCCCTAACCAATTTCCTTACATATAACTGTGGTAGGTTTGTTGACTTTTTTTTATTCTTATCAAAATAGTAATAACATGAAATAAAATTCCTCCCTTGCAACAATGCTTTCCGGTTTCTTCTCATAGATCCTCATAAATCCTTATTAATATCACATGATGGGCTATTTTGTATTTTCTCTTCTGGATGCATTTCACAGTCAAATATTATGAAAAAAAAATTACATCGATTATAAAAATATCTGTTTAACAGACACTAAAATTACAAATAATTATTTGCATGGTCACTTCATTTGTTCTATCTTAATCAGAAAAAGTATCCAGACTTTTCCATGCAACTGATATTTTTATGCTAGACATGCAGTGTTTAAATCCCATCGTTGACAATGCTTTCAAATTTGAATGATTAAGAAAAAAATTTGAAATCCAACGTTTGATTTCTTTTCAGCAAATACATTGTTTTGACAGGGAGGTAAACAAAAAATTTTCATGATAAATTAGTTTAACATGTTGTATGAATCTTCTCATTATGTTGCTCATTTCAGTCGGACGAATTTTGTAACATTTTTTAATTAGATGATACTATCTTTTTTTTTCTCTTTTGCCATTCATAGATTTCTTCTTTTTTTTGTGTCGCAAGAAATTACGAATCGTCACCAAATACTTGGAAAAATTTGTTATATTGAGCATACATTAATTATTTATCTATAACTAGATCTGGCTTAGATTTTAATTCTACATCAGTCTATTTGCTGTAAAATTTAATTTTCTATCTATTAACTGTATATATATACAGTTAATACATGTAGATTTCCTTAATTTCTATCATGTATATTTTATATAGAATAAAGAATAAATTATAAGGTTTTGTATGGCTAGCTAAAAATTGTTTACTTTTAGTGTCCAAATTTTACAATACTATTCACAGCAAATGTTATCTACAGTATGTTTAGATTATTATATTTAAGTTAATTATTATTAATATACTATTGTCTATGAAACAATAAGTTTCAAAATTAGGATGATAATCTTCAGTCTAGATAGAAATGTGTATAATTCACTCTCGAATGGGTAACAATTAATGAGATAACAGGGAAAATTGCAGGATATAGAAATAGTGGATGCATTATTGCCGCATACATCTCATTCATTCATATCAACAGTGCTTGTTGTTTTAATGACAACAGCTGTAATTCTATACGCTACACCGATGTATTCAGTCATCATACCTTTTCTTGCTGCTATTTATTTCCTTGTTCTGGTATGCTTCATCAAAAATGAAAATCTACTTTTCTTCTTTTTTTCTTTTTTAGAGAGAGAGAGAGAGAGATGATAATGATAATGAAATGATCGTTTCTGGAATGAAGAAATAAGAGAATATAAGTTATTAAAGTAACTGTTAGCGACAATTATTAAAATATTTAAAAATGTCTTTTCGCAAACTGTGCTCTTTTTTCTTATTTAATTCAGTTCATCACTATATTGTAATTATATTTAATGGTAGTGAATGGAAGTTATAATAATTGTTGCATGCATTTTTTTTTTTTTTGGTAAAAGCATGGTATGAGAAGCATGTCGTTCTTTTGTGTACTTTTTTATTTTGCAAAAGAAAAATTTGGTTTTTCGAAATGTATTATTTGAAGAATATGATTTCCATATGAAACATACTTTATTATTAGACGAAATTTATCTTTGCTGATGATATTATGTTAATAGTATGAATTTTTATAGCTTTTAGTAATTATCTTTTTGATACATTATTGCTTGCTGTTTTTCTACAGATTATTCTGTTCATTATGAGTTAATGGTTTTGATGTTTATTGGTTGTTAATTCTGATCATCATTTTTTCTTCAGATTTTTTTTTTTTTTTAATATTTTCTGCCGTAGGGTGTTTTCGTCTGCTCAAATGGTATTACTATAGTCTGCATGTTATCCTGTTAAGCATGCTTTATATATGATTCGAGAATGAGGATGAAATAAAAGTTTCTTGTACATAATCATTTCAGCCGGAAATTCCATTCAGCAAATCTGGTTTATTGTGGTGTTCATTGTCCTGCAAATAGCATGGCTGCTGCATTGTTGAAAGTTTTACAAATTTGCATGTGTTTGCATGTTTGCAGGATTTGCAAGAACTCGACCAACGTCTACCATCATCACTGATCACCCTTACTGGATGTATTATTACCGCTTTCATTATTATGATTGTGCCGGTACTTATGACGCCGCAAATTATCCTCCCTTTTGCTATGATTTTGTTTTCAAATTTTATGTTAATGGTAATTTTTCAATCTATACTGCATGAAACATGGATATAATAGATTCGAGTTTAAAATAGATTGTAAGCATGGTGCTATGTGGGATATTGTTATTGTTGCTTATTTTATTGTATAATATTGCTATTTTATGCTAATTTTTTCCGTTTTTTTTTTTTTAAAAAAGAAAATTCTTGTTCAGCAAGGAAGTGATTTAGTTTATATAGCAAGTTTCGACGTTAACTTCACTTCTTGGCCTTAACTTTTGCTTATGCTTAGGTTTAATAGTTTTTAAGCCTTCGTATGCTATGATGAAACAATGAGCAGTAATGTTTTTTCATCTTACTCATAAGTTCATCATTTCTTTGACATTAAAATGCATTTCCAGATCACAGTTTAAATTAACCTGTGGGAAAGTATGCATATAAAGTTAAAAAGCCTATCTGATGCGTGCATTTATATAACATGAATATGCATCTTATGTAAAGCATTAAAAAAATCAGACGAAATTTTCATTAAAAAAAATTTCTCTACTATCAATTATTTTTTATTTTTTAGTTATGCTTTTGTCTCAGTTTGTTGCACAGCTAGAGTTGTCCATATGTTATCCATGTGCACATATTCTGGAAAAATACTTTGGATTGCCTTATTTCTTTTTTTGCTAACGACCGAAGAAAATGTTGATATAAGTTGATTTATTTCTTGCTTTATCTCACTCTATTGCTTCAAATTTTATTTTGGCACGCAATTTAATAAAAGCTTAATTATAATGTGAGGAAAAAGAGCAACCCCATAAATTTGGTAATACTTTGAAGAACAATAATTATAGAATTTGAGTAAGATTCATACAATATTGCAATGCATTGCAAGTTTAAAGTTCTTCTCTTGTTCATGCTTATACGCATTTAATGACAGCTTGTATGCTATATTCACCGCTAGCTCAGGAATTTAGAAACCGGAAAGTATTTTGTAAAGCTGTAATTTTTTATCATTAAAAAAATATGTTTATTTTAACCTATCAGATATTAGCAATGCATATCGTTCATTTCCAGCGTTTCTACATTTCAACATCACGTCAATTAAAACGTCTGGAATCTACCGCTCGATCTCCTATTTACTCGCATTTTCAAGTTAGTTTTTTATTCACTGCTAAGGGAATAAAGACTGTGTGAAAAAAATTTTAAAGGACTTTGCTGTTAAACGTTGCTGGTTGGCAGTAATTTTTCATTTTTTGTGACTACTTGCAAGAACTATTAAAATGATCATTGTGATATTGGATCATTTCTGGATAGGATTCTTTTTTTTGGATTCTAGATAAAGTTGAAAACATAGGCAGAAATAAAGCTGCTATAACATTGAAACTTGGAAAATTTTGGTATTTCTAAATTCGGTTTTTTTTTTTTTTTTCAATTTTGGTGAGCAAATTTTCTGTTAGCAAACATCAAATTTTACTTTTCATCACTTGGAATCCATTGTGATAATTTTCAGGAATCGATCCAAGGATCAGCTTCAATTAGAGCATATCGATGTATGAATCGTTTTATCCATGAATCTCAAGATCGTCTTGATAAGAATATTGTTATACAGTATCATTCATTGGTTGCTAACAGGTGAATTTTAATCAAATATTAATAAGGGGCAGCTATTCACATGTACTTCTGTATCTTTGAGGCAGTTATCACAGAAACTAACCATGTATAGATTTAAAATAGTTTTAAATTTCAGATGGTTAGCAGTACGCTTAGAACTTGTCGGTAATCTTATTGTGTTCTGCTCGGCTTTATTTGCTGTATTTTATAGAGAGAATGGTTCAGTAACAGCTGGTTTAGTTGGATTATCCGTTGCATATGCTCTTAGTGTATTGTTTTGATTTATTTACTTATTTTTATTTTTTTAAAATTTTTAAATTATGAGAGTCTTCATTTCCGATTTTTCAGTTAACTCTGTAAGAGTGATAATGATACGATAAAATAAAATAAAATGAGAAATAAAATAGTTCATATTTCCATGATTTTTTATGTGGTTTTAACTAGAATTGTATACTTTTCATTTGAGATAACACAAACTCTAAATTGGGCCGTACGTATGGCTAGCGAATTGGAAACCAATGTTGTTGCTGTTGAACGTCTGAGAGAATACACCGATCTACCGACTGAGGTGAGATGTGTATCATGTAAATTTTGCAATTAAAATGATTCAAGCAAAGTTGGTATCTTACTGTATTACATCATTGAAAATAATAGAAAGTAGGCATTAGGATGTATTTGGAAGGTTTTAAGCAAATGAAAAAAATGATGGATAACTTATTAATATGATATCTTGATATACCAGGTTCATTGTCGAATGTTTTACAGTAAAACTTTTGAAGTTATATTAATGAAACTATCATTTTAAAATTATATCACTATTTACGTTATTTAAACTTATATTTAAACTTATGTTTAAAACTTATATATTTAAACTTATATTTAATTTAAACTTATATTTAACTAAACTTATATTTAACTTGTATAGAAAGCTCAGATAATTTTCGATACATATGAAAAAAATAATTTCTAAAGTATTACCTATTAATACGTGATAAATGTTTGCAGGGTTTAGCGAGTGAAAACTTAGCGCATACGCCACAACGAGATTGGCCAAGTAAAGGAGAAATTATTTTCGATAAGTTGAAAATACGATATCGCGATAATTTGGAATTTGTTTTGAAAGGAATCAGTGCAACTATTCATCCAGCTGAAAAAATTGGAATTGTTGGCAGAACCGGTGCAGGTCATATATTTTATTTATAATCCACTTTATATTCTGCTTGAAAGGCATGTAAGCGTGATACATTGTTGTAACCAAAATCTCTAGGTTTTTACAACTACTGCATGATTGTATAGTTGATAATCCCTGATCCAAAATTGAAATCAAATTCTTCTCTTTAAAGAGAATCAAAATGAGAATTAAAGTTGTGTATCAGTATTCATAGAACAGTTAAGGATTGTCACTTTAGTGAGCAATAACATATCTCTTTCAGGTAAAAGTTCTCTCACACTTGCTTTGTTCCGTATTATTGAGGCGGATTCAGGTCGAATATTAATCGATGGTGAAGATATATCGAAAATATCGCTGGATAATCTTCGCTCAAAATTAACAATTGTTCCACAGGTACTGTTTTTTCATGATTGATTCAGTTTTTTTACTTGAATTCACTATGATGAAATATTCCCTTCATTTCTATGTTTATGTATACTTCCATTGTATTATGAATGTATTGAAAATTTCCATTAATTGTGTTGAGTGAAGGATCCTGTTGTGTTTTCTGGAACGTTACGCATGAATTTGGATCCATTCGGCCATTTTGATGATGCCTTATTATGGAATGCACTTCGAACGGCTCATCTGGATTCGTTGGTGCATTCATTTCCAAACAAACTGGAACATAAATTAAGTGAAGGTGGTGAAAATATTAGGTGAGAAGTTGTTTCAAAGTATCATCCTACAAGCAGATTAAGCTTGCTAAACTGTTATAAATTCTGTGCAACATACGTACATATTATTTGGTGACTTCAGTTCCAGAGAGTATTTAATTTTCAAGTTCTAAAAAGACTACATTTGTATAACCAGAAAAAACGATATGTTTAGAGGGTACGGATATGTTTGTGCGAAAATTTCATGCACATCTAAAAATTTATACTATTCCTGAGCATTTGTTATGTCCAAAAAAAATGAAATAGAAAGATTCATTTTGGTGGGGAATCTTTACATTTGTAAATGAATGTAAATGTTGTATTTAAGAATATTTGATATCGTTATGATGCATATAATTAATATATACACCAATGAAAATAATCACTTCATTTCAGTGTTGGACAAAGGCAACTGCTTTGTTTAGCTCGAGCAGTATTGCGAATGAGTCAAATTTTGATTCTGGATGAAGCAGCAGCGTCTGTTGATATGGAAACGGATGCGCTAATCCAGAAAACAATTCGCGAGCGATTCTCACATTGTACAGTGCTTACAATTGCTCACCGTTTACATACAGTAATGGATAGTGACAGGTTGGCTTTATGTTAATATTTTTTACTCAGAAATGATTTTTTTGGTTTCCAAAATGAAAAAAAAAAAAAGGAAAATAAGTACTTTTTATTTCTTTGTTTTATTGATTTCAGGATTTTGGTACTTGAAAATGGTTACATTCGTGAATTCGACACACCAAGAAAGTTATTGGATGACCCGGATTCATTATTTCGTACAATGATGAAAGAATCTGGATTGTTGCCTACCAAAGAACATTGAAATATTCTGATCCACTTTATATTTCAAAATCCTAGATCTCTGGTTAAACTAACTTTGTTAGTCATGCGATAAGCTACTTTATCTGGTTTACTTACCACTTATTTACTATGCTGAAATGAATCCAAACAATTCTTAGTGATTAAATTTATTGAAAATTTGTGCAGTGTTTGAGGAAATTATTTAACGATTAGATTCTTCTGAATATTAAGGTGTTTTTTTTAATATAGCCACCATTTCAATTTCTGTTCAATAAAGTATGTTTGGTGATTCTTTTGGTTTATTCATGAATCAGTTTCTTCCATCGCTAAACACAGTTTCTGTACGATATAACTGGTGATTTGTTTCCTCTTTTACTTGTCAATTATATTTGATGTAATCTTCCATGCAAAAGCAATTTTTTTTTTTTTTGAAATGCTTGCCAAAAAAAAATATTTCTGTTGTTTATGTTGACCTATAGCAAGTAAGTATGTTCATAGTTGTTTATAGTCATTATGTCATGGGGTTTTGGATTAATTTCTAAAGTATGGGAATTTTGGAGAAGATGGAATTGTCGAAGTAGAGGAAAAGTTGGAAAGAGTTTGACCAGAAAGAAGACAGATTTTAAACGTATGAAAAGTGAAATTTGCGGAGAGATGTTTAGAAAGCGACTTATGCGAGAGTTCATCGTTAATTACTTTGGCAATGAGTGCTTTTGCAGAAGTTTGTTATAGTTTCCGGATTGATTTATGAAAATTATCCTTAATGCAAGTTAAGTTCTCGGAATACCTCAATATAGTATCCTTAGATTAGTTTCATACGAGAAATAATCTATAAGGTGGAAATCATTACCGAATTATTGCAATAAATAAACGAATGATTATAAATTAAACGGATGGGTTCGATAATGCTTCTTATATCATAAAGAAGAACAGGTCATCGAGTATAGCACTTACGAGTAAATACGAATTTCCGGATTACACACGATTGTTCACTATTGTTTGAATATTCTTCCATCTTACAAATTACACTTTATCGTCTTTCCATATATTTGATTTGTTTTCGAGGCTTTCGAGATGTTCGTCAACATGAGAAAGGTTCGTCAATGCAATCGTAATCATAATCACAGGTATATATGGTTTATCATAAGCACATCTAAAATTTAACGTAGTCGTATTATTTGTGATATTCTCATTGTAATAAAGGTATACATTCAAAGTTAGATTGTTCTATGATATTAAATAATCAAATTTACAACTATTTATTGTGAATGGGTTGAAATATATGTATGTATATATATGACGTTGAAACATTTTCAAAATAATAAATTCAATCTCTGTAGCATACTTCATTAATTTGCAATATAAACTCTTCAACGATTGAGTAATGAGCAAATTCATAATTAAAAATATTGATGTTTTTGTAAAATTTATTTATAAAACAAAATAAAATATTATTTGATTGTAAGAAATGAAAGAATATACTATGAAGTGTGACAAAAGAATGGAATGGCATAAAGCAAATACTGTGAATGTTATCAATGCGAGAAGACAAATTTTACTGAGTGATAATTTGCTGCTCTAAAAAATTATTAATATGAAAAAAAAGCGAGCATTTTGCATTGATAACAATCAAAATATGTTGAGGACAATTCGAACACACTGAACTTGATGTACGATTGTTTGTTATTATTAATGATAAATTATTGTAATGATTTTTGAGCTTCTTGAAAACTTCTGATTTGTGCATTTATAATGCATTTGTCTAAAGATCTTATTTCCTATCTCTATCTCTATATCTGTACTATTACTTATATTTAGTTAAAAAAAAAAAAGAAAAAATGGTTAAATATCATTTTGAAATAGTTTAGTATGTTGAAAATTAAATCCTTAATAAATTATATGATGCTATTATTGATTTGTTTCATTTCATTTGTATATTTATGTCTAATAATTTCATAATTAACTTAATAATGATCTTATTTTTTTTTTTTAAAAAAAAAAGGAAAAAAAAAAAGGTAATGTTGTTACTTTTAAAAACAAAATAGTAAATGACAAATAAGGAATTGTAACTAGCATTTATATATAGCAAATTAAGTAGATATTTTCAAAAAAAAATTAGAAAAGAGGAATTAAACAATATGCATTGTGCGCAAAAATATTAACGCCTATTTTCTCCACCTATTTTATCAAATATCGATTAACTTTTTGCTTGCTATGTGAAACTTATGAATTTATGTATTCTATGAAATTTTCAGGTTATAAAAAAAAAATTGAAAAACTTCATTAGGGATTTAAAAATTTTTATTTGAGTTATTCAAAAAAAAAAAGTAATAAAATTATTCAAAAAAAAAAAAAAAATCTTTCATCGGAAATAAGCGTCTTCATAATCAAATAATAATAGCATTTATATTTGAGATGAAATCATTATTATTTGATTACAACTAATTTTAATTAACTAATTTCGATAATTATAATATTTGATAAAATTGCTGTATTTGTGAAAAATATTTATTCTTGTGCAAACTAAATAATTTAACACTGAAACATTTCCAGATTCATTAAATATATTACAACTCTTGAAAAAACTGAAACGACCGACAATTGATTCGTTTAAAAATTCGAAAAGAGATAAAATTTTAAATTTGCTAATTATGGAGCAAAGTTGCTTTTCAACAGGAAGGTTTAAATTAACATGGATAATGATATTAGCATATTTTACTATTTCCACAATTTTACAATGGTATTTTACCCTACGGTATCAATTATCAACACCTCCAAAAGGTTTTTATCATAGCCAATTTAAAGCTGTTGCTAAAGTTTTCAGGTATATTTTAACTAAAATTTTCTCTTCTTTTCTTTGGTCGAATTAATTTTATATATTTTCATTAATGAATCTTATTCACACATTATTCATATTTCCAACTGTTTAATTTCAAAAAGAATAAAGAAACAATTGGAATTTGGAAAATAAATGAAGAAAGGAAGAAAATAAAATGATTGAAATTTGAAAGTGAATTTATATACTTTAAATCAATGGTGGTAACATTTATGTTATATTTTAGACAGAATTTTGAAATGGGTTTGGAAAGAGAAGGTGCTCATTTAACAGTTATTCAAAATGGAAAAGTTATCATAAATCTATGGAATGGTTATTCAGATTCAGAATCACTTCGTGAATGGAATCGCAATACGAAAACAGTTTTATTTTCTACCACAAAAGTAAATTTCAATATTAATTGAAGTGATAGTAAATTTTGGAAAATTCGCTTCTTTTAAATGTAAAATTTCATTTACTTCAGTAATTATCAGTTATGATTTTACTGTTTTATAACATTAATGAAGAAATCAATTTAATATAGTTCAGTTCGAATTTTTTTTTTTTTTCATCACTTCAATAACCAAATCTCATTTCTATTTTTTACTGTATCATTGAAATTTTTTGCTGAACTGAAGAAATTTGTTCAAATTCAAACTAATAATTGAATTTAAAATATTATGTAACTCGAAAATATGTTAATTTAAAAAAAAATAGAACTAATTTTACTGATCGTTGATTGAAATATTCTTATACTTAGGAAATTTTTAACTTACAGGCAATTGCAGCACTCTGCTTAGCAATGCAAATTGATAGAGGTCGTCTATCATATGATGATCTAGTAGCGAAATATTGGCCAGAATATGGACAATACGGGAAGCATATGACTACAATTGAAGATATTTTAACTCATAAAGTTATCATTTACAATGAAATAGATTTGAAAAAAAAAATAGTAGAATTTTTGATACAAAAAAAAAGGATCTATTAAATTTATAAAAAAATTTTAAGTTTAACACTTTTATTTGATTGCTTTTTAAAGTATGATATATTTTTAACTTGTCAATTGTATCAAAAATTTGTATAGGCTGGTATTCCATATCTTGATAATATTACAATAGAAGATGTAGCAAATGAAAATAGAATTATGAAAATAATGGAGCAAGCTAAGCCTCTTTGGAAACCTGGAACTGCTACTGGGCGAGTTATCTTTTATATTGTCAAAATACTGTATTAAACATTTCTTTAAACTGTTTTTTTTTCTTTTTTTAATGAGTAAGATTTTGTTGCAAAATTATTATTACTTTGTTTTGTGATAATTTTAAAATATTTTTCAAATTAAATAGCAATTTTATCATTTTTTTTAAGATATCATGCTGTGACATTTGGTTGGTTGATTGATGGTATTTTCCGTAAAGTAGATGAAAAAGGACGCAATATTAAAACATTTCTACAAGAAGAAATAGCTGATAAATATGGCAATCTTTTCATTGAAATCAAGTTTTGCATTTTAATTTAGTATTATGATTTTTATACATTTAGAATTTAGTAATATGAAAAAATTCTAAGGTATTGATACTACGATTGGTTTGTCAAAGGAGGAATTCAAGAGTTTAGCTCGAGCAACGCAACCTGGATTACTTGAATATGCTCGAGATGTGTTATTTGATCTACGAGTATTTATCATGCTTGCAATGATGTATGCACAACCATCAAATTCTTTAGCAGCAAGAATTCGAATTCATCCATTATGGCTTCCGTTGAATTTTGTAAGATTTTCATGAATATATAACTTTCTCAAGTTCCACAAGTAATTTGACAATATTTTGTGGTTTTTAAATTTATTACCAATATATTAATTGCTTATGTTCAATATGGCATTACTAAATAACATCTAAAACTATTGTTTGTTTTTTTTCTTTTTTGAGGGTTTTCCATATTTTTTTCAATTCAAAATGTTTTACTCTTTCATAATTCTTTTAAATCAAAATACTGTAAATTCTCTAGGATACGGTAGCACTGAATGATCCAAATATTGTTGAATTAAATATGGCGGCAATAGGGGGTGTTAGTGATGCTTACAATTTGGCAAAGCTTTTTTCATTGGCAATTGATGGAACACTTTTAAGTAATCAAACACTTGCACAAATAATTCGACCAACTATTACTAACTGGCATTTGGAACAAGTTTTCCTATATCCAATTGTTAAAGGTCGAGGATTCTTTTTTGAAAAACATCCTGTTAACAGGGTAAGTACAGCTATATTATACTATTTGCAGTATAACTACGTCACAAGATACATTGAAAACGTATAAATCATTAGTTAGAAAAGAAAATTGTATCGTGACATGGTTATATTTCACTATGAATTATAAAAATACGACTTCCTAAACTTCAATTTTATTGATAATGACGGATTTTTACAGATCGTAGATTCAGATAATCATCAATACTCTCCAATTTTCATAATTCATGACAAAGTTCAAATAAGGGCCAGATTTAATACCAAATAAATGAATCATGAATCAATGCTAACTTGTAGAACACGTACTTGTTTGGACATCCAGGATACGGTTGCCAAGCACTGAATATCGATTTTGACAATAAACTTGTCATTGCATACGTATCAAATGGTTTAAAAACAGGGAGCAGTAAAATGTGTAGGACATATCAGTCAATACTTCGATCTCTCTATCAATCGTTATGAATAGTAACATTTCTGTACATATTTGTAGCTTTTGAAATTTAATTCAACAATAAACAAATGAATTTTTTGTGACTATCAGTCTTTGATATGAATATTTTCAATCTCTGGTAAGAATCTTCTTTAAATTTGATTTTTATAAAATTGGTTGCTCTTTGCAGTAAAATATTGTTGTGTAGACTTTGCAGCAGTTTGCAAAAGAGTAATAGAGTTAAAAGCGTTACAAAGGAATAGTTTTTTTACGACAAGGTGTTCATTGAAACTACTGCTCGTTTTTAATAAGAAACAAAGTTTATCTGCAATTTTATATGCACTATCACTTCATCAAACTGTATTAAATTAGCTCAAAACAAAAATCGTACCCTCATCAAACTAGTTCAAGCACTTAATACTTGTCTCAACAACATTATATCTTATTTATTTAACACTGCTGAGAAAGTATAAATTCCAATTTATAGGAATTAATATCGGCACAATTAGCGTATAGGCAAATACTCACTTTATTAAAACCTGTACAACATAATCTAAGTGATAATGGTCCTACGTCGCTTATCTCCAGCTCCAGGCACTTTTTTACGCTCAACAACTGAATCAAAAAATTTCGATAAGATAATTCGATTAGTGGAGCCAGGTGAAATTGGACGCTGACAATTTAAAAAGATTCGATCATATGCTGTCTGCAAATAAAAATTGATTAAAACTGGCCAAAATTCCTCGAAAAACTACATCTAGATAATTAAAATACCATAAAAAAAACTACAAAATTCACAATTTAAAAATTTTTGCATTATGACTTGTGAACAATACCAAAGACAAACCTGCTTAGCTCGTTCAGGTGCTAAATCAGATTTACAGCCAACAATCAAAGTCGGCATTGCGGTACTTTCAATATCGCTTAACAAAAATCGTGAACTGGATGAAGATGTGAACGATGAGATCACAGAAGGTAACGATGATTCGCCACGAAGTAATGCAACCCACTGCGAAAGATTTGATTCACTTTTCTTATTGCTCAAATCGTGTACTAATATCGCACCTGTAGCTCCTGAAGCAGCAAATAATTTGTTCTTTCCTGCATGCTATTCTCTTTATCGACATTAGAACTATACCAACAGAAATCCAGCCAATTAATACAGTTCTCAAGTGGGAATCGGAAAGTAGTAAATAGTTTGTAAAATGATTTATTTTATTCACCAGGTTTATATCAAAAGTAAAAGCAAAAACAAGGATAAATTAAGAATCTTGCAGACAAAATTTATTAGATAAACACCGACTTCACAAAGAAATATCTTTAAACAATGAACCTTCAAAGAAATTAACAGATGCTTTTTGATGAACTGTGGAACCACCGATATCCCAGAGTTCAATAAGCTCCGTTTGCTCGTCGGTACTTCCAGCACGATATTGGTGAGCGATTACAGAAACAGCACAACCAACCGTACTACTAGGAATTATATCATGTCTGAAACCAAGTAAATACCGCTGTTTTATTTTATTATTTTGAAATACAAAATAAAAAACATTTTTGTGCTTATGACATTACAGGTTATCAACTTGTTTCAAAGGAGTCAAAAAGTTTTGTTTACTAAATCTCTTCAGTTCACTTCCTTATTTCTGAAAGTATGCCAATGTAAAAATGATTGTAAAAATAATGAGGGGATGTTTCGCCTGATCTCTGTTTTGAAGATACAATGCATCACTGATGATTCAATAATACCTGAATGAATCATTCTTCTACAAAGCGAGCGCAACAAACTATACTGTTCTTCCTTTTTTTTTCATAATCTCTATTTTTTGTTCTGGATAAAGACGTGAGTATAAGTGCCACAATTTGAGCTATGTAAAAAAAGTTTCATCCATATTTGTTTTTAATAAATTATTCGATTCGTCGGCAATCAAAAATATAAAAAATAAATATGCACGCCACCTGATCAGCTCATTCTACTTGCAGCAAAAAAAATTGATGAAATAATAATAACCTGTTGCAAACGGCGTTGACAAATGAACTTTTTCCGACACCACTACTTCCAAGGACGACGACCTTATGCGAGCTCATTCCCGACTGACCTCCAGACATAACGAACAATTTGGACATTCAAAATATGCAGAATTAACAATACGATCAATAATTGTCTTTTCAAGAATATATTCACCACCGCAACTAAAATATACCTGTGTGAATCATAATATATTTGGCATTGAAACTTATATAATAAAACAGTTCGTAAAAGTGAAATTTCCGAACGTGTCTAAATTCTGTGAGAGGTTCAAGATATAGTTAAGATGTGGGAGAAAACCATTTAATTAAATACTAGATTAGTAGATACTTCCGCTAGTTTCAATCAGGTCAAAAAAAGCACTCAAGATGGTTACCTGCAAAACTCCTCAATCCGTTCAACAGTATTATCGATAACAATCTGTTGCCCAATAATACCTTGATCTTCACGTAGCAACTGTTCTCTCAACCAAATATTATAATCTCGACGCGTGTTCTCGTTCCTAAGTGTATCAGAAGAAATTATTCACAGGCCATAAATATCATTCACGGAATAAGGAAAACTGCGCAAAAAGAATTATTATGCAAACGTTCACACTTAATGAAATTTAATAAATTGTAATACCAACTTTAAGACAGACCACGCCTTCGTCACCAGAAATAACGCCAAGCTGGAACCACCCTTATCCGGATGACTGGTGCGCAGCTTACAAAAATAAGCTTCCTTCAGTTCACTGTAAGAAGCTTCTGATGAACAACCTAACACATCGTAGCAATTTCTCATAATGATTCCTGAACATTCCAATTATTCCTCCTGCAAACATCACTTAGTTTATGAAATATTTGTGCCAACTATCGATTAATCGCAGTATGAATTTGTTTGTCGTCCGTCATGAAAACAAGCAAAAGCAACCACACATCGAATGCATTCTAATAATTATGCAAATTCAAAGTAGAAAACATAAATGCATGCACCAACAACTTGCAGCTATACAACTTATCGCTCACTACAGAATATTTATTAGCGAAGGAAAAGCGTAACTTAAAGAATAAAGGATTAAAATACAATAAAAGAAATAAAACAGAGAATTTTACGTATAATCTGTACATTAAAGAAAACATTTGTAAACGAAGGCACCTTTGACCCCGTTATTCTGGGAACAAATTACTACACATCTGTACAATGTTCTCAGAGAAATGATGAAAAAGTGTTAATCTCAATATCTACCACACTCTTAAATTTAAAGATAACGGCACTGGATAGTACTTCGCATGAAATGCAGAATCACGAGATCAAATAAAAGATGGTACGGAAAGAAGTATAACATAAATACATAAATACATATTAAGATGCTACATGGTTCAAATATATTACATTGCAAATTCATGCTTCGAATTTAAAACGTATATGTTAAAAAATTACAACAATCTTTTCAATCAAAAATCAAAAGTTTAACTGTAGTCAAAGAAGAAATGGAAAACACAAAAGAAATCCCTAAAAGGAAAATGACAAATTTTAATCCGTTCTAAGTCTCCAAAGCATATTTCCATTACAACGGAATTGCTTTAAGAATAAGTTCGAGAAACACAAAAGAGAACCTCATACTAATCAGGACTTTCGATTGAACGAAATGGTATAACTGGACGCAATGGAAATTTAATTGAACGATCCGACTGCAAGCTCTGTTTCTCGAAGTCTTCTGTTATATGTTGACGTTCGGACGATGAACGAAACTTGTAGCTGACATTTGCATACTGTTTCAAGCATGGACAAGCTTCAAGCAGAAATGAGCAAAATGGTGCACGCATCGCAAACCACCATGGATTACCCCCACGCGCACCAAATGACATTAAAATCAAACAAAATAGTGCCAAATCTAATGGAGCACAAACAATGATGAAAGCAATTTGGCTGACTGGTTCATCGTCTGACCATGATATTGCATCCAACTTACCTGAAATTAAAAACAAAGAAAATCTGGTAACATCCAACAGCATATTTCCATGTCAGTTTTTAATTTTGTTCCAGATAAATAGACCGAGTGTTTTATTCGTATGCTCTAAATGAAATCAATACTTCAACAAAAGAAGGAAAGCGAAGATTAAAGAAAAAGTCATTCAACTATCCTTCATCATTCCAAGACTTTACTAAAACCCAGTTTACGGAAAAACTTAAGTGCGATATACATACCAGTTAGGAGCAAAAGGAATACAAGAACTGGTATCACAAGCAAAGTATGACACAGAGCGGAGTATACATGCTGTCTTCTCTGGGAAGCTAACATATGAACTGATCGTGCCAACACAACTGCCAGAACAAATGCATAAAGCACCTGTAATATGTTTAATGATTTCATTTGAACTTTTAAATAACTGCAATAATTATTACAAAGAAGAAATAAAGTTAGTGACATTCAAATATGAATAGCATTTTTACAAAATTATGTAAGCAACGATCGATGAACGAATCGGAATTCGCTCAGTGAAAGTATAAGGCAATGAAATAAACTTACTCCGACGACGCTTAAGGATAGGACCACCCACAACGGAATGAAAACGATTGTCCAATGCCAATCCAATATACCATCCAATTTGAAAGCAACAAAAACAAACTGCACAATGTTGATGGAAAAGAAGAGTTCCAACTACAAACACTAATTATGAATTATATCGATTGTAAAAAACCCACTATATCCATGTAAAAAATCAAAAGCAACCACATACTTTTAAATTCTACAGAGCAAACAACAACCTCAAATGATTTATCGTTTCTGATTGCCCATATAGCAACAACAACAGAGAGTAAGCTTAGAGCAAAAATGGGGACAAAAACGAGCAACCAAGGTAATTCATCCACTGTTGCATTTGCTTGCAATTTATGACAGCATAATACCTCAAACAATATCAGTAATCCATGCTCTCCGGTACATAATATCATTCCGTAAAAATCCGAACGAAGTGAGCTCTCTGTCCTATAAGACTTCAGATTTTTTTGGAATTTTAACTTAGAACCATCAAAAACCACTAAATTTACTATAAAAACTGTTTCACGACATGCAGCAGAAAGATAAACCAGTTATGCAAGATAAAATGCTACATTATCAGTTGATTTTTAATTCAAAAACAAAGAGAATGATGAATATGAAATACGAGCAACTTACAAAGATGGGGGGGATATAACGAAGGATATTGCTGCAACAATAGCTCCAAGAAAAACTATGAATTCGCAAATCCACAGTGGTAAAAAGACAAGGGCGTAATTAAGCTCGATAGTACCATCAAAACGCAATGGAAGAAGTATAAAGAAACATAACAAACAACTGTACAGAACGAATTTCCTATAAGACTTAATAGTTTATATTTATAATTGGAATTTAATCAAAACAGCTGTATTTCCCTAAATCCACACCGAAGTGTCTGATAATTGCAAACAGTGTCTGAATAACCGATAATTGAAATAAAATAAAATCTTTTGGGTGAAAAAAAAAGAAAAACAACTAACATAATTAAGTAAATCAGATAGTGGACATCATGCAAAAAGTGTGGAGAACCAAATAATTATTTTTTAAAAATTAGTTATATAGGTAATTGCTAAAAAGAAAACTTACGGAGCATTAAAGTCCCGAAAAAAACTGCGAAGACTAAGTTCCATCTTTAATTCTTCCACTGAATGTCTTGATGACGCAGGCTGCACAATGGAAACGATATTTCACACATTAAATTGATCATATCTATGTCATCTTTTCTACCAAAATTGGATGCAAAATTGCTGCAGAAAAATAAAAAATAATTTAGCTGAGAACAAGAAACATATATGTACCCATACTGCTGAATAACGATGATACTTTCAACAGATCAAATATATGAGACGAAAGTTCTTATCTGATTTAACAATAATACCAAATAGCAATATTAACAACAACCGCAAATACAGTTGCTGTGACTAAGGTATGTACGTTTTTATCTAGTAAATGACTAATTAAGACAAATAACAAATGTTTGTCAGGCGGGTAAAATAAAAAGCAGGAAAATAGGACAAAGAACATTGTAAATCTGCAATATCATCACAGATTGTAGGATTAAATAAAAGAGAATTAAGATTTTGAAAATATGACATATGTAGCATATTATGAAGAACGTATAACTGTCATTCGCATTATTACTCAATAAAAATCCCTAAACCTCGGAATTCTCCTTCGTAAGCTCAAAACACTGCATAAATATTGCTAGGAAATATGCTGCATCAATAAAATATATTCAAATTTTCTAAAACCTAAATAGTGATAAAACCATATGTCTTCTAAATAAATAACTAGCTAAATATATGAGGAAAATAGATCACCAACAAATTTAAGAAACAATTAACCCTCACACACTGCGACGTAATTGACGTATAAACAACACGGTAAGAATTCATGGCACGGGCAAATCGTGGAACATAACACAGTGAGGTTTGGGTTTGTGTGGTATTATTTCACCAAACTTTCTCCATCGATCTGTCAATAGATGAAACTTCAGATCCCGCCTAAATTTGTGTCATGTTAATCTTTTTTAATTTAAATAACTGTTTTAGATGGTGCAAGTCTTTCCTGCAACATATAACAGTTGACATGGGTTGAAGAAAGGTAAATTTGGGAAATGTTGACATTGCCAACTCGGCGAATTATTTTTTGGTTAAAACTAGCGATCATAATTACTTGCATATCGTTCATCTTTCTTTTCACTCATCTTGCTGAAATCACCGAAAAACCTCATTACAGGTAGTGAGTTTTGTTCATATATAAATATCACTGATAAATTCATGGTTGTAATTCAACTATTTTTAATATTTTTGAGGGAATTAACTACTTTTAAGTAAATTATTATTTCATCATTTCATTGCATCCTTCTTTTCCGAGATTTAGTGCTTGAATGAATAACTTTTTGTAAATGTACGCAAATGACTGCAACTTTTGTATATGAGTATCCCCCTGTCTGTCTGTACATATATCATATCATCCCATATGGTATTGTTTTTGCAGATATCCTGCGCAACATATACCACCATATCACTGTCCATTGTCAAATAAAACGGGTACAACCTATAAGCATCATGGATTTGTTAGAAATAAGACAAATTTTTTAACGGATGGAAAGGTGCTGGTATTTGTAGAAACGTTGTATTCGAAGCTTGGAAAGCAAATAATTAACATATTAGATGCGCTGAAGATACCTCGTAAAGTTGAAACTCTTACAAAAAATCTTCCGCTTCTAACGACCGCAAAACGTGGACGTTTCTCAATTATTATTGTTGAAAATTATTATAAATATTTAAATTTACTATCATGGAATCGGCAACTTCTTGATAAATACTGTCGTGAATATAACGTTGGTATAATTTCCTTCATTGGTAATCGACCCAACAGCTATATTAATGCAAAAGTCAAAGGTTCACAGTTGACAATTCACACCCAACAACGTGCTGTAAATCTTCGCTTCAATGAACGGTCGCGTGTTAATTTTATTAGTAAACCAGGTGCTGTGTTACAAGCACCAGAACCGGATAAAAATGATTGGATATTATTTGACATCATTAGCGGTAAATAATATATACTTCCAAATTCATTTTTCTGTATGTTTCAAAGACTAGGGTTTAACTGTAAACTTCCACAGTTTGTAATCAAATATGTAATGAATTGAATTTTAGTAGAAGTGATTAGTATCCATTTGTTTTGCGAGGTGAGAAGAAAACGTACCACTTTTTCAGGCTATGAAGGTATTGTGCTGGCTGATGATATTTTTGGA